TTTTTCCTTGGTATTTAGCATCTAAATCACCAACCTCAAACACAGGCTAGAGACTACACACACAATGGCTTGCACACTATACCTGTGCCTTCTGGAAGCAGCTTTCAGTTTTCACATTACGTCTCTTGTTCTGTGTCCCCATCCTCATGGGTGACTATTCTGGGTCCCCATCCTCATGGGTGATTATCCCAAAGGGTGATTATTCTGAGTCAAGCTAAGGTGTGATTGACAACCCCCGAGAGGCATGGACACTAGTCATAATAAAGTGGCAGAATTATAGTCTCACGTCTGAGGGGAGAGTTTCACCGAGCGCTTGAAGAAGCAGAGGGGTGTTGCAGGGATTTCCGAGTGGCTTCATGTCTTGTTCAGCCTGCTACCCCCCTGAAAGTAGCCCTGGAATTAACTTTTGTCATCACAGACCCTGAATCAAGGGCACCAGTGAACCCCCGGCATTTTCAGAACTTAGCAGGCATGTTTTTCTGCCAGAGAGTCCCCAGCTATTATTCGGTGCTCATAGAAGTCAGTGACCCCAGGGAGAGCACCATCTTTGCTTTGTCAGCTGCTTCCAGAACCGTCATGGCCGCCTTTGAGGTCAGCAGCTCCACCCCTGTTTTGCAGTTGAGGAAACTGCGGGTAAGATAGGGGAAGTGACTCTCCCAGGGCCAAAGGCCCGGAAGTCACAGAGCCTCTTAGCAGTTTCAGCCCCAGGCCTGAGACAGTATTCCCTTGGCTTGGATGCTATTTTCCAGTTGCTGTGGGCCACCCAAGAGGGCCCAGGCAGCCTGAACCCATGTAGGTAGGGAAACCCAACTGCAAGCGGGGTCCTTTGGTGTTTGTAAACACAATGGAAATAAGCTAAAATGATAAAAGAAAGATACCTGGATAGTCTTCAAATATTTCAAAGTTAAATTCATACTTACAAATAGCTCATGGATTGAACCTCACATCCAGAGAGGAATGCCTCTCCCCAGCCCCTTCCAGGCCCTCCCACCACACCCTCCACCATTCACTAGGCCGCCTGCGCTTCCCCAGCTACGCCTGCTCTTTCCCGCCTGTGCCTCTTCACTGACTGTTTTCTGCCAGAAGCGCCGCCCTTCTCCCTTGGGCACCTGCCTCTTCACTGCCTACTGTTCAAAACTCAGTGTGAGGGCTACCTCCTGCAGGGGGCCCTCCCTCGCCTGCTCAGGTAGAGCTCAGCACTCCCTCCCAGGTGTGCGTCCACGGTATGAAGCGGCCTTGGGAGGCTGCAGCTGTGTCTCTTGGCTACATAGCCTGACTCTTGGCACATCATAGATGTTCATTAAATTTTGCAGTAAATGAATAGCCAGTGATCACTGATAGACATCGCTGGTAGAAATCACGGTTATTCTTTCAGATATTTCCTACGTGCTGGGCACCTTCTTACTTTCCATATAGGGGGCTGTTTGAGGTTGGCAACCCAGGCCCATTTTACAGATGAGGCTCAGAGATGTTAAGTCCGTTGCCCAGGCTCATACAGCTCGGAAGTGGTAGAACTGGAATTCGAACCCAGGCCTACCCGACTCCTTGAGTACCCAGAGGCCTCAGGCCCTCACTTTGATTCTGGAAAGAGGCAGGAGGAGCCATCAGGGAAACTAAGCCTCAGAGACATAGCAAGGGTGAGGCAGAGAATGGCTTCCAGCCTCCCGAGTCTGCACCATCTGCACTGGGCTCAGGTTGCAAAATCAGGAGGTCTTGGGGGTGAACCGGGAAGGAGGGCCAATCAGTCATCTGTGGGGCGTGCAGAAGGGACCGCCGCCCTGCTTGTGGAATTGCCACTGAAGCGTGGTCCTCTTCATTAGCAAGGCCTGGGGGCAGCGGGGAGCACAGGCTCAGGTTGTGCACTCTAAATCATCACCTCCCTCTTACCTGTCATCCCCAGAGACCCAGCATCCCTGAGCTTCCCCAGGATGCTGGCAGGAGCCTCCCTCCTCTCCTCTGCAGGCCCTGTCCTCGGGCTGCCTGTGGAGCATGTCTGGCTCCTTACCCTGTCCCTGGGTACCTATCTGCCCCATCCCCTGTCTTTTCCATTCACCCCCTGCCCCCTCTAGCCCCAGACTCCTTTTCTGAGGTTCTTGAAGACCCCACATCCTCTCCCATCTCAGGGCCTTTGCACTCTCTGTTCCCTCTACCTGGAGCACCCTTCCCACACATCTTTACATGGCCTGCTCCTCTCATCCAGATCACAGCTTGAATGCCACCTCCTCCAAGAAGCCCTCCCTGACCACCCTCCTCCAACCCCCCCTTGATTCCTCTCACAGTGTGTTGTTCATTTCTTTGAAAGCAGTTGTTGGGCCGGGTGAGGTGGCTCACGCCTGTAATCCTAGTACTTTGAGAAACTGAGTTGAGGGAATTGCCTGAGCCCAGGAGTTCGACACCAGCCTGGGAAACTTGGCGAAACCTCGTCTCTACAATAAATCAAAAAATTAGCTGGGCATAGTAGCGCACACCTGTAGTTGCAGCTACTTGGAAGGCTGAGGTAGAAGGATTGCCTGAGCCTAGCAGGTCGAGGCTGCGGTGACTGTGAGCGTGCCATTGCACTCCAGCCTGGGTGTCAGTGAGACTATAGCTCAAAAAAAAAAAAAAAAAGCAAACAATTATCACTATCTGTTCATGTCTTAAGTATTATCTGCTTTCCCTGCTAGGACTTAAGCTCCTTGAGGTCAAAGTCCTGGCTGTCTTGTCCATTGTCCTGTTTCTAGCACCAGACCCAGTGCCTGATACCTTCTACTGCTTGGTACACATTTCCTGATTGAAGAACAAATGAGAGAATGATGATTCTGGAAGACATCTAGGCCAGGATATGCTGAGCCTTCTCCTGCAAAACATTTCCTGCTGAGGCAGAGTGTGGTAGTTCAGAGCAGCGGCCAGAGCTGGCTGGTTTAGGTTCAGATCTCGGATCCCGGCTTAGCAGCTTCCCAGGTGGGAGACTGAGCAACCTCCCTGTGCCTCAGTTTCCTCCTGTCTCTACGATGATATTTTGTCGTGCTTCCATGTGCCTGGCCCTGCTCATTCAACCGAGGAGCAGTCCATAAATATTTATTATTAATTAATTAATTAATTTGAGTTGAAGTCTCACTCTCTCACCCAGACTGGAGTGCCATGGCATGCTCACAGCCACTGCAGCCTCAACGTACTGGGCTCTGGCGATCCTTCCGCCTCAGCCTTCCAAGTAGCTGGAACTACAGATACGTGCTACCATGTCCAGTTAGTTTTTGTGATTTATTGTAGAGACAAGGTCTCACCAAGTTGCCAGGCTTGTCTTGAATGCCTTAACCTTCTAAGTAGCTGGAACTACAGATGTGTGCCATCACGTCCAGCTAATTTTGTTGTTGTTGTTTTTGGGTCGGAGTCTCACTCTGTCACCCAGGCTGGAATGCAGTGGCATCCTCACAGTCACTGCAGCCTCGACCTGCTGAGCTCTGGCGTTCCTTCTACCTCAGCCTTTCAAGTAGCTGGAACTACAGGCATGCGCCACCACACCTGGCTAATTTTTTGATTTATCGTAGAGACAAGGTCTCACCAAGTTGTCCAGACTGGTCTCAAACTCCTGGACTCAGGCAGTCCTCTTACCTCAGTCTTCCAAAGTACTGGGGTTACAGGTGTAAGCCACTGCACCCAGCTCATAAATATTTATTGAGCAACTACTAAGTGTCAGGCAGTGTGCTAGGAGTTGGGGACGCAGCAGTCAACAAAACAGGCAAAACTCCCTTCCCTCCAGGAACAGACATGCTGCCAGAGTCTGACACTCCAGCGGATTATTTTCCATGTTTTGATAGTAAATTTTATGATGATTACTGTCTTCATTTATCAGATGACACATCTGGGGCATTGTGAGATTAGAGCACCTGCCAAGGTCCTGTATCTAGGAAGTGGCAGAAAGGATTTTAACCCAGGTTGTCTGAGTCTAGTAAGTATCCCTTGTGGTGATAATAGTACCTACCTCCAAGGTTGTTGGAGGATCCCATGAGTTAATATAGGTAAAATGTAGTCAGGTATGGCGGCTTGCACCTGTGGTCCCAGCTACTCGTAAGGCTGAGTCAGGAGGATCCTTTGAGCCCAGAAGTTGGAGACTAACCCAGGGACGGCTGTTTCTTTTTAAAAAAAGAAAGAGAAAGAAAGAATGAAAAGAAATTAGCCTACATTGTGGTGCAGTTTGTAGTCCCACCTATTGGGAAGGCTGAGTCAGGAGGAGCCCTTGAGCCTGGAGTTCAAAGCTGCTGAGAGCTATGATGGAGCCACTGGGCATCAGAGCAAGACCCACTCTTTAAGTAAATAAAAAGGTAAAGTGGCTGGCATGGTGGCTCATGCCTGTAATCCCAGCACTTTGGGATAGCGAAGTGGGAGGAGAGCTTGAGGCTGTCTCTAAAAATATACATATTTTAAAATTAGCTGGGTGTGGTGGGGCATATCTGTAGTCCCAGCTATTTGGAAGGCTGAGGCAGAAGGATCGCCGAGCCCAGGAGATCGAGGCTGTGGTGAGGGTGATTGTGCCACTACACTCCAGCCTGGGCGAGAGAGGGAGACCGTGACTCAAAAAGAAAAAAAAAGCTAGCATCCACATGGTGCTGGCCACACGGTGAGTGCTTGTGCAGTGCTTGTTTAGTGCGTTCCGTGTCCGCGACCTCCCGTTAGCCCTGCTGGGGTCAGCTCGCAGACCTCCCTGACCGTGCGTCCCCTCTCCCCCAGATGTGACCCAGGCAGGCTGCCCGCTGGCCTGTCGCTGAAGCCGCGGACACCGGCGCCAGGGCCGGGCCCGCCCCGCCCCCGGCCCAGCATGCGGCTG